GAATATTACAGAAGAATGGGATTTGTTGTAATTATTCGATTTCATTTCTAAATTATTCACTTAGTTATTGAAATGATTGAATAGCACAGAAGTGAAGTGAGTAATTTAAAAATAAGGGAGGTTAACTAATGACTTGGAAGCAAAAATGATGAATAATTGTTTTTTTAAAATGAATAATTCAGAATTGAATCATTTATTTTAAAAGAAATATTCAATTATTTCGTAGAGTTTTTCTTTGCAAAAAACTTTAAGACATTTAAATTGAAAAATCTTTTTAATAGCATTTTGCTAAGTCACTAATTTCAATTCCTATCGGTTTTAATTTTTAAGAAATACGAGACAATATCTGATTATTTTTTATTTTCGAATATTTTATTAGTTTTACTATTTAGTATTTTGCTTATTTTAATTTTTAAATTATGAATGAATAATAGCTAAAATTATTTAATTGTACCGCTTAATTTTTTAGAAAAATAGCTAAATGTTGTATTTCTGGATTTTTGGGTATTAATTTTGAATTGTACAAAAATTAATATAGTCAGAGTATATAGTTTGTTGATTTAATAATTCAGCAAGCATAGCAAACAGTGAAAGAGACAGAGAATATGCATCATCAAATTATGATTTCATTTGTTAATTTGTTTATGCTAATTTTGTGATCACTGAAGCTGATGGAATAAAAAAGAAGTAGTGAGTAAATAAAAAAAAGTGTCTTATTTGCTGAATAGATTAATAACTTGAAAAGAATGGTACGTTATTGTTACGCAATTAAAAAGTTCCATAAGTAATCACTAAGTAAAAAAGGCATAATTATCAAAGGAATGTCAAGTAAGATCAAGATCAAGCTGAATATATTATCGAGTATTTTATTTATCGTTTCGATGATTCAATATTTTTTCAAGAGATTACACATCCCTATGAGCTATTTTGATCGAGCATTATGATCGCTTTGTATTATTGACATTTTAGTGCTAATTTCGGTAATTAATTTATCTGTCATCTAATATTTGCATGCGGATTTGATCTAAGAGAATGAGAAAAGAACCATTATTTTACTTTTGTGATTAATTTACAGTTTTTAAATAATATGATCATTTAATAAGTTAGAAATATAGTTTGTTGAAAATGAAACTTCAGAAATTACGTTTTAAAAATTAAAATTAAACTTTTTCTTTCACTATTATTGTAATTGTAAAAAAATAAGTGATAAAACTGACTGAAAGCGATCATTTTTAAGCAAAAATTTTTGAAAAAATAAAACGTTACTAAATTTGATCTGTATTGAGAATTATCGATTGTATTATTATTATATTTTTGTATATTAAATTTCTGATGAAAAGTGGATGATTGGAAAGTTAACAATGCAAGCGCAGTTGCACCACCTTTCAAGTGCTCAAAATTATTCGATAGTTTAGTATGTAAGCCCAAAATAAAATTGCTTGGAATAATTACCAGAAAATTTATTGATTCAAATACATTCAAAATCTTATAGCAATTTGAAAAAATAGTGAAGTATTTCGCTATTTGTAGTATTTTCAATTTATTATCGTAATTTGTCAATTTCAGTAAATGTTTTATAGTGAATTGCAGTAAAATATTTGCTATTTTTGGCAAATTCAGATTTATTATAAAATTAATTAAACGTTTTTTTCTTAAATGTTCTATTATTATTTCTTTCAAGTTTATATGAGTAAACTGAAATATTGCAGTTATTTATCTCTGATAATCACTAAATATTTGCTGAGATCATTTAGCAGCGCTAAATATACGAAAAATTGGTCATTTCTTGCGTGGGAAAAGTGAGTAATATAAACATTTGTTTTTGTTTTTAACGCTAGTCACTTCATTATTTGACCGTTGACCCTTGATGACACATTTGTAGATGTTACGCTTCATTTCAATGATCAGCAAGAAGGATAGCGAAAAGTCTTAAGTGTACTTTTCAGATAATCCACAATATGTACTCGGCCATTTTCATAAACGACTTCCGACCAGATTACCGAACTTTGTCCAGCAGATCTCACTGATAGGTTGCGCTTTAGTTTGCCATTCTGTACGAAAATAAGCTTAAAAATTAACACGTCTTGTCATTTTAAAACTTTTTTCCGTAAAATTTTTTTTAAGGGAAAAGCAATAAAATTGTTATACTTGTCCATAGCACGTATTATCAATGAGGATGAATAGTAATCACAATTTTGGATAATAATTGATTATCAATCAGGAAGGATAACTTTCAAACTTTAAGCAAAGTATCGTCTAATCTCTTCAATTTGGAATAAGTTTGAATAATTTCTAGATTACTTGAAAT